GATCCGAGATGTATCGGTCGCCACTCCAGTGCCGAAGACATTTTGGGAAGGACCACACGTCCTCCGTGCCATGACAGTGTATCTTCGCGAACCAATCTACGTATGGGACGTTGCTGCAAATGATATTGCTCATGCTCAACAGTACGCTTTCAAGACATTCGAGATGGCGAACGGGGACTGTCATGAGACTGGCGTAGTCGTGGCACTTCCGGACGACACGATGCGGGACATCCTAGAAGAATGTTTTAATCAACAAGTCATCCCTGTCATGCTGTTGCTCAAACACTCTGAGGGCCACTTCTACGGTGTCCAACATGGCCAGACATTCATCGACTGGCATACCAAGAGCGGTCCAGCGATGCGAAGTCGGCTTGACGCCGTGCACCGAAAACTTGGTATACAACTCATGGCCGGAAACGGGTACGACCCTGACTCGATATCGGTCGAAGTATTACAGGAGGAACAAGCGCTTCTCGAAGAGATGGATGTAGACTATTACGCTAATGGATCACAGGCGAGCGTTGTACCTGACGCAGAATCAGAGGTTAAACGGGTTGAGCCAACAGCAACTGCTCGGATACATCGCAGTGTTTACGAACATATTCTTCGCACGGCGGATGCAAGTCAAATGGACGCAATAGATAGTCGCATCGCCGCGAGGTTACATCAGTGCAACGACGCTGCATTTCAGAAGTGGATTTCACAGGAAGGACAAAAATTCAAGGTACCTCAGCCGGAACGGGGCCAACGACCTTGGGTGGCGCTATTGGAGTGGCTGGTAGCAGCTCCTCTGGCACTACGGCATGTACTAGCGTATTTGCCATTCCCTGAAATCGCGATTCAATGCGGTACCACAGAGCAAATTGGACAATGGGGAGAATGGGAGGCCTACCACCAACAATTGCAGACGCTGGAACGTCTTTGGACTGATGATGAAACCGATGACAGAGCCCGCGAACTGTGCCATACATGGATCCAACAATGTAAAGAGGCTATCGCTACTGAAGCATTTGAAATGGCAAGAGACAGGAGCAAATGGGAGGCGTTGGGAAAGCTTGTCGATGAATCGCTCTTACGTGTCCGGCCGCTGGATATTCAGCTGGAACACTGGTTTATAATGCATGTGCTGCCATTTACAGTGGCGATCTGGCCGGACACAGCGATGGGGAGGGCCCCGTCGAGCGCACGCAACCTGTGGTACAAGGAGTACAGCCAGCTTCAACAACTATGCACGGATATTGCTGACCGCAACGACTGGAGCAGGAGCATTTGGCTCTCCTTAGACATAGCAAGGACGGATGCCTCGCCATCAGCTGCGGTAGAAGCTCATTGCGTGATTTCTTCCGCGCACAACAAATAAAGGCGGCTCAGCCGCTTACTCTCGAGGTGGCCAGGGGCAGACCACATTGCGGGATTTCTTCTCTGTCCAGGCCTGGCCTGAACGAGAACATACGCTCCGTCGAGAATTTGCTACACAACACCGCGCTGCTATCCATCGTCGTAAGCGCCAAGATCTTCTACAGAGAGGACAGGTTGGCGGTGGTAAAGGCCAAAATACCCTGCACGGTAGTGACCTTACCATTGGGCTACTAACGCAAAATGTTCGAGGGTTTGGATCAACAGCTGGAACCACGCTCGATTGGCTGACCTCCTTCAAGCGGAAACATGAACATGGACATTTCGACGCTGTTTTTCTCCAGGAGACACATGTGGTAGAAGAGGTTATTCCACTTATGACACGAAAACACGCGCGGGTATGGGGATATCGTGTGGGCGAAGGATGTCCCCCGCTCTCGCTATGGTCTGCTGGTCCTTCCAACGCTGCTGGGGTCGCTATTCTCTTCCACCACAGAGCAGGTTCCACGCAACTCTGCCTGCTTACGAAAACTACAGGTCGCCGCATTTTATTGCAGTGTCAGCTGTACTACACGGCCAACGTGTCCTGCTCTTTAACATTTACGCCCCGACTCGGCCTCAAGATAGAGAAGACTTTTACAGGACTTTGGTCGCCATTGAGATACCGAATGACACCAAGCTGTTTGTGGGCGGAGACTTCAATTGTACGCAACACGGAATTCGGGACCGATCGTATGCGCCGTATGCAGAGACCCATGCGTCGAAAGAGTTGAAACAGCTCATCCGAAAATGGGGACTTCACGACAGTATCGCCCACGGGCTCCCGGACCCGACCAATACGTCAGCATTGGCTCGATTGTATGACAAATATCACACTCATGGATATACAATCCCTGAGGTCGGGCTCGCAACGAGTCGCCTCGATCGCTGGTATTGCAACGATGTTGGGCGTGCGTGGATGGCAGACACGACAATTGACATGTATGGTATGCAGACCGATCACAAAGGAGTACTTCTACATTTGCGCTCACCGTCGGATCCGATTCGAATACACAAAGAACCTAGAGCTTTTCCAGTCCCTGAATATGTGCGTAAGAGCGCTGACACGTATGTGACGCGGGAGTTGGAGACTTTTTCCAAGCGGATGGGATCCGAGGCATGGTCAGCTAAGCAAGCGGCAGATGCATGGGACGCCTCAAAACGCTGTTTGGTTAAGGGACTGATCCAGGTCAAACGTAGCGCTCGCCAAAGTCAAACGACCTCGTATCGCCGGAAGATACGAAGATTGTATGGGAAAATTCGGAGAGCAAAGCTGAAAGTCGAAGACGCGGCTACTCCCTCTCAGCAGGAGACAGCCCTAACGCGGGTAACAGCCTTAAACCAGCGAATTGCCTTGACGAAACGCGATTGGATTCGGACCAAGTCTAAACGCCTTTTTCAATCGCACACATGGAGAGAGGGTCGAACTACGAAGCAGTTCTTTAAAAGGATTTCTTGCAAATTTGGGGACAATGTCATCCCAAATCTGCGTCAAATCCCAGGCAAGCCGCCGAGGGACCCCCAGCTCAAATCAGAAATTCTTGCTGATGCTTGGGGCCCGATTTTTATGGGGGATTACACAGATCCAGCAGTGACCGAGACAATTGCACGATGGATGAGCTCTGTGCCAGACGACGACACGGCGATTCTTGCCGACGCAGAGATTATCAGCGCAAGTTCAGTTGCCGCAGCCTTACAAGCATGCAAGTCAGTCAAAGCGTGTGGTCCAGATCGCCTCGGGAATGATTGGTATCGGGCTTATGGTAACGAACTCATCCCTATTCTAACGAAGATTTTCAAACTGTGGTATACAGAGCAAGTTTTCCCAGATTCCTTTCTAGAGGCAGATATCTTCTGTCTGAAGAAGGCAGGTGACGGGGCAGACCCACTCAATTATCGCCCATTGGCACTTTTGAACACGGACTACAAGATTCTGACTAAGGTGCTGACAACACAACTCAGAAGCTCTCTCGCCCGACGAGTCAGCAAGTTCCAAAATGGTTTTGTACCTGGTCGAGAGATCCACGCCACGCTAGACTACTTGTCAGCTGCCCAACGCATGACCATAAGTTCGCCAGAAGCCAGAAACTCATTAGCTATACTGCTGGACTTTGCCAAAGCTTACGACTCGCTGAACCGCAACTTTCTGTACGCCACGCTTCGACGGCATGGCTACCCAAATCATTTCGTGCAAGTAATCAAGAAGCTTCATACGGGCACCACTGTGCGTTTTCTCGCTAATGGTACTCGCTCCCGGAAAGTACCTGTCAGTCGTGGTATCCGCCAGGGCTGTCCCTTGGCGCCATTACTTTTCATCTTGGCCATCGAGCCACTATACCAGAAGCTGCATAGCGGTACAGTACATTGCGGCATTACGTTGAAAACGAAATCATCACGAACAGAGCTGCGAGTGGCGGGATACGCAGATGACACGGCGGTCTATCTCCGCGATAAGGACGAACTGCAAGCGGTGTTAGATGTAGTATCTACATTTGGAGGTGCTTCAGGATTACAAGTCAATGTGACGAAGACGATAGCAATCCCTTTGCACCCTAACGGACTTCCAGCAGAGTTCTCCTGGCCATGGACGATCAAGCTCCTTGGTAAAGATGAGTGCTGCCGGTATCTCGGGATACAAGATGGCAGCAACTCGTCGGTCGCTGAGATGTGGAAGCTCGCCGCGAACCAACTAAGTATTCGAATTCGGCTGGCAAGCCAAAAAAAAACGCTCACCATCGATCAACGAGCCCGAGTTGCTGCAGTGGTGATAATACCGAAATTTCTCTACATTGGTCGCCATGCCTGGCCGACCACGAGGGTGATACATTTTTACTCGAAATGCATTAAGAACTACGTATGGTACGGACTTTTCACTGAAGTGAGAGCGACTCAGTCGCCATGGATAGCAACTGACCTCGCACTCCTTCCTCGTAGAAATGGCGGGCTTGCTGTGCCTGACCTCAGAGCCGAACTACTGGCTATGGCGGAAACGGTGGTCAGCGGGTGGGCCTATAAAGGATCGATGCTAGACCTGATTGTAGGGGATATCCTATTCCCCCGGAATGCTACGGACTCGGCAACAAGTCAATTCTTGACCCCCAGTTGCTCACAACGGATATCGGCCGGGTTTATTGCGGGTACAAACTTGAGGAAGGCCGGCGCTATGATGATTTTCGCAGCAGAAACTGACCCAGTCACTCCAGTGCATGATGTAGCCATCACTGCAATGTTCGCTTGCGTTCAGAAGGCGATCCCAAACCCGATTTTCTGGAAGAAGGGTCACTGTATCCTAGATCTTCGCAGCCTCCTAGGCGAAACGACTTCAAAGCAGCGTTACTTCTTCCGGACAAATTATAGGCAACCCTGCCTCGAATGGCTACCTTTTGCAGAGGTCCGCCACCTTTTACTCACCAGACCAGCCGAACTCCGCCCCGGAATGCTATTGCCTGGCCGATTAGTCAGCGACTATATTAGGTGGGATATCCGAACACCAGGTAGATTAACAGTCCGGCGTATTACTCGCGATCAGGACAGCGCGCTCCGCAGCTTGATCGTGGCTCTCGTGGCGCACTACCCAGACCTGCTTCACGGCCTACAGTGCAAAGATGAATTACGACTACAAGCGACTCCTTTGGATCATCCTCTCATTGTCAGTGCAGCCACGCCATATCAAGACAATGATGTAACACTAATGATTGAGGGAACAGCAAATGACACACCACCGGTTCTAGCTGTGGGCTCAAGGCAGGACGCAATAACGGCGATCAGAGAACACTGTGGAGAGGACATAGATCTCCACGACATCCACCCACATCCGTCACTGAATCGCATGGTATGTTTGTGGGTGGACAAGAGACGATGGAGCCGTACGCGGCATGTTTACAAGCGAGCGGCACTCACAACTAGGCGACGACATGGTGAACAAGATATTACGGATCGCAAACATGCGTGGGCTCGTGACCACCCTACGATAGCAACGGCCCTTGCGCATATTGACTGGAAAGATATTCGATCTATCACAGGAGCAACTGCTTGGGGAGAGCAAGTCCTTTATCGTTTGAAGCATCGCGCTTTTAGTAATTGTGACTCGACCAGGGGACTGCCTGGATGCCCCATCTCCGATTGCCTTCATCAGCATATCACCACTGCACACACGTTTTGGACATTCGCGGGTGCTATGGTGCTTTGGGAAGTATTCTATGCGCCGTGGACCGCCCTTGGGCTTGTGGCGTCGACATCAAGATTAACAGCTACTTTTCCACTGGACCTCGAAATGGTCCCTTCTGGAGTCTGTGGTAAGCATGCGCGCGCGGTTGTGTGTATTTGTGTGTGGGCTGGTATGGGTCGTTTTTTGTGTTTGAGTGGTGGAGTGTGTGGTCGAGCTAGCACTTTGGCGCAGAGGAAGCGTGTTGGGCTCATAACATTCGACACTATGTACGAGATGCCATGCAGGATTGTTGGAAGGTGGGAGTGGTCGAGACCCTACAAGCAATATGGAGAAGGCGATGCTTGTATCGGGAACCAAGAGAAGACAATAGTGCACAGCGAGCCGCTGCTATATTACATGGGCGTCTCCGCAGCGCGTATCTAACGATACGACACACCATGCAGGCCACTACAACGAATCCTCATCGGGTGGCTGCGGCACGACTTGCGCACCAGATACTGACACAGCCTTCACCGGAGACCAACACGCTACCATCTCCAACTCGGAGGCTGCAGCAACATCTACTATACTTCGATAGCGGATCCCGTGGCAATCCTGGACCCGGAGGATCTGGTTCGGTCATAGTGCATCTTGGCGGACATGCAGTGAAGCCCGAAATTGTGTGGATGGCTAGCGTCTCGTACGCTCACCGCACAACAAATAACGCAGCTGAGTATCAAGGCTTGCTGGTTGGACTACGGCACGCCATGCTCAAACAGCTTCATGGTCTCCACGTAATAGGGAACAGCAATCTCAGTATACAACAACTTCAAGACAGACGGTTCCCCCGCGCGCGGCATTTACAAGGAATTTACACTCAGTGTCGGCTTCTGGCAGATCGCCTTGGCATCATCTCGTGGACTCACCATTTACGTGATTTCAACAAGATGGCGGACGAACTTGCAAACCTTGCGATGGACACTAAGAAAAGCACGCAAGTTTTTGAGGCGGACCTTTCTAATCTACCTCAAGCATGGACTGCAGTGGTCGGGTTCCTCCAAAGGGACGTTGACAACTGGATAGACATTCACCCGGATCAGGAGGATGACGGCCGGACCTCCAATGCTGAAGGTGTGCCTTACATGTGTGCGCATGTGCTGACAAACTAGCTGCAGTCAGCGACTCATCAGATGATAGTAAACGTCTGGTGAAAGAGGACATTTTCTTAGTCATTCCAGAGAGTAAGAGACTGTAATGTACCTCAACTTCGAATCGAATCGAATCGAGTTGTCGACAGTTGGAGGCGACCATGTAATATTGAGATGTTAAATCCACGGAGGACTGTCAAAGATAGAAAAAGCACACCCGGTTTGATGTGCAGCCATAGCAAAGGGTTCGTTCAGAACACGACGCTCGTCTCGACTTAGACTAGGATACACCTTGGCCTTCAAACTGGCAGCAATAGCCGGACTGAGAAAAAATCTTCACTGTGATCGTTATACATCTCATCAAAAACTGTAAGTCCACCGAGCGTTGTTGGAAGTTCTGGACACGACGCTAAATGCCTGTTCATGTTCCTCGTAACGGCCGATATTGTGAAGTTGCAGTGAGTGTGTTTTACTCCAGCAGCCTTGAAATCACCACGTGGATGATCTACAAGATGACCCCAGACACCACCGCGCTTGCGACCAATTGTGAATGCAAATGAGAGTGATACTAGCGCTGGTAAAGTTCACCAACAAGTGATAGGCGCGGATAAGAGCTTCTTCAACTTCAACCTTGACCAGTCAAATGGTTTTAAAAACCTGAGGCTCATAATAAAAGACGTTTGAAACCGGTTTGAAAACCCAGATTTTTAAACCGATATAAACCGAACCAATTTATATCTATGTCCTACAGTAGTTGAGCATTGAGAAGCGTCGCCATAGCTTGGATAACCACTTTTAGAAACGTTTCTTTTCGTGACAGAAGTTGAAGCCATTAGACATTTGATCTGACAAAATAAGTGAGGCTCCATTACTGGTACTGTCGGACTAATTTTAACGATCAGTACACTTGCATCAAATCTTATTATACTAATCATATCACTTCAAGTTCGAAATTATACTATTGCCAGGGAAAGTCTATGGAGATCGAGTGAGTGAGATCGAGGTGAACCTTTTAGCATGTTCAAACATAGAAAAACACAAAAGTGGAGCGCAAGCGTCCGAGACCAAACTAATGTGAGCGTGTGCGAGCGCGCGTAGCCATAGCAAACCCGAGTGGGGTGCCCACGAAGCAGGACCGCGCCTAGCGACGATCTTCTCAGCAAACGGACATTGTGCCCTAACCAGAACTTAGTTTTTCTACCGCGGGGGTATGAGGGTGCAACCCCAAGTCCAGTATGGTGTTGTGACTTCACAAAATTTTCTACGGACCCCGTCCCACATTTGGATCAAGATGATCGGTGGATGGGACCGTGACGCACGGAGACATGTGGATGGGAAAGGTGATGTGACATACAGGTCACCAACTGTTAATGGTAGCTTTGGAAGTCTCGTACCGAGTGGAAGTTGACATCGTAGGTCCGGAAGCTTGCTCTAGATGAAGAGTGAGCTCTGTCTGGACCGTAGACCACCCGACGGTGAATTAACCCCAAAATGGGAGTGGAAAATTCTCTGAGAATGTATCTTGGGAACGTATCTCACCCTGGCTACGCTCACATACGACCAAATATCCAAGACCGATGACATATTGCGACCCCAAGAACATTTATTCGAAGACTCCAAGTGATCTCTATGTGTTATCGTCTATATTCATGTTTCCAGACTTAAAGTGGAGATATCTTCTCGATTGGATGTAAAAGTCACCGAACGGAACGATACCGTTGCGAATGAGGAGTCCAAGGCATCTCCTTCAGAGAGAAGTCCAAGTATACACGAAGTCATACATCATCACGAAGCCCTAGGCCCATCAAGAAGTCCAAGGTTTTCAGAAATTTGAGATGTTCTACGAAGGTGTGATGTCGTCCGAAAGTGTCGACTAGTCAGTCCGCGACTACACAAAAGTCAAGTCTTAACGACCGACCAAGTCGACCAGACGAGGATTTGCAAAGCACCATCTGGACCTCCGTCATTAAGTGGTTGTGTACCGTTCGAAGATTTGAAGGATTCCTTTACCATATTCCAGTCAAGTCATTATGGGATATGCGCGGATTCGCACGCAATATCGTTTACGAATACTTAGCTTGTACTAGATAACTTTAAACAGAGTTCGTTTTGCCTGGAAGGTGACAAGTGCTTCGGAGAATCTTGCCTGGATAACTTAGGCCCAGGGGAACTGAAGACACTGTGCCCGAGATAGGACCGTTGTGGACGCGACCCAATGAGGGGCCCTCGTGTAAGTTAAGACCAAATTAGACGGGGACTGGGGCAGCGCGCACCAATGTGCGATCTGTTCTATTTCATTTCTAAGTTAGAGCTCGTATACGTTTCCGAACGGAGAGTTCTATTTCATATTACCCTGTGGTTTCGGGAGATTTGTTAGTAATCGCCCCAAGGACGATATTACTGTGAGATAGGACGTACATTGTTTTGAAAAGTATCTTCGATTTGGAACTAGTTTCTTTATTGAGGTGGTGCGCGAAAAGTTGAGAAGGGATTGCCGACGAGACTGATCAGTATTTCGCTCGGCAGCCACGTTTGACTGGGTTACGACCAACTTTTTCACGGTCTAAAAGAATAAGTAGAGGCTACATATTGTATATAACTCTGTATTGATTTGGTTATCTGGAGGAAGCTTTGTGTGTAAGCTTCTTTCCTTCTGTATATACCAGATTCGGAAGTCTTCGTTTGGTAAGCAACTCCGTTCTGATTGATATCTAACAACTCATTGGGTGGAACCCCTCTGTTGATTGAAGACAAACGGATCGATAGGGATTACACAAGGTCACACGCCATCTCCGTTCGGTACACTAGTTGTCCGTCCGGTCCAAAGACTCTCTCTCCTTTCGGAATCAGGAGACGTCTGTAGCACGGCATTATACACCTGGGTGAGAAAACGTGTTCATCCACGTCACCAGAGCTGGTGCGCGTGTCCGGGTTTGATTATCAACGGATTTCACAGAGTTGTTCATATATTAATTGGTTTTAGCGTGCGATACTAACTTACTTTCTTACCTGGTGATTTTGAATGTAAAGAAGAATAACACGCAAGAAGCGGGACGAGATGACATGGGACGCGGCGATGCGATTCGGTCTTCTCGTCGGGTACAGGGGCTGTCTTCGCCCGAGCAGAAGTCGCTCGAAGAAGTGGAACGTGATCGTCGAAGACTGCGGCGAAGCGGAGAGCAGCTGAGGAAAAGAAGTCGACGACTCAAGACGAAACGACATCCGAGTCCTTCGTCCAGATGGAGAGGGTGAGTCCGTCTTGAAGGATCCCGTTCAGACGTCTGTGGGAGGAGTCGTCAAGTTGGATCCCGCGGTGGGAGATCGAGTTTGAACTCTCTCTCCAACCGGACAAAGAAGTCGAAGTTCTGGAAATGACGTCGGCTGTCAAGAGAGGACGTCCGCTGACGACCGTCGTCGAAGACGAAGTCCTCGAAGTGTCGAGTACGAGTCCTCGCCCAGAGGTATCTTCCGGCCTGGAAGAGAAGATGGGAGCCGTTGGCCGGATGGAGTCTCGCGAGTCTGACCGGACTGAAGTTCTAATGTCTGGAACAAGCGGGCTGACGAAACTGACTCGCGAACGAGGACTTACGTCGCAGACCAAGTTCGTCCTTGGGAAGGGTATCCCGTCCGGAAGGATGTTACCTCCGAACGTGAAATTTACTTGAGTCAACGGTGTTCCAGATTCCAAGTTCTTCGATGACGCTGCCGTGAACACATCAAAATACTTGCTGCAGAGGACGTCTATGGCGAGCAAGCTGAAGCGTGGGCTTCAAAACTGCGACCGAAACGGAGCAAGTTTGGAGTGGCCCGAGCTCTGTCTGGACTGATGGTCCCGATTGGAGAACTCTCTTCGTTGGAAGTCACTGCCATTTTGTAGACGCTCCTAGCGGAAGCTGGGTTCGAGTTGTATAACTTGGTCCCTGGATGGTTCCGAACGCGAATGGCTAACATCGATTCTGATTTAGTCCGAACGGTGGTCACTGAAGCGCAACGGCTTTTGGAAGTGGAACTCATCGAATGTAGACAACTCATTTCTGAAGGTAAGTGTCACATACTGTCTGAGGAGAGACTGAGTGTCACATGCTGTCTGGAGGAGAGACGGATGAGATGGAATTTGAGTTGGAACAACCCTCTCCGGAAGAAGCGTCGGATGATATGATTACTGAAGATCGAGACGGCGACTTGTTAATGGATGTTAGCGACGCTGAACTACTGGGACGCAGGTTCGTCTACCAAGTCGTATGTCCGGGCTCCGAAATCCAAGAAGCCCAACTGGTTCGTCAGCTGGTTAGCCCA